ACGCCATTGGCCTCCTTAAGAATATTTTTAACTCTTCAACCATTACAACAATGTCAGAAATGCTGGATCCACAGAGACCACCTGTAATACAGCTACCCACAGGGACCTCTTCAAGTGTGCCCGAGGAGGAAAAACATACAGCTGATATTTGTCATGGGTAAATTTTTTAACTGGATACCTCTAGTTTTAGCACGGCAGGTCAGAGCATATCAGCAAAAAGTAGCTAATTTCAAGGTTGACTGTAAGAGCAGTCAATGCTTAGACAACTTTTTCCACGATTAAGCTTCGGCTGCAGATTCAGAATTACACAGAGAACAGTGAGTTTCATGACAGGAGACAGAGAGAACAGTGTTAAGACTGGTAATAATGTTTGTGCCCACCCCAGCACTTACTTGTGCAACAACAAATTCCTGCTGATTTTGCACATGACGGTTGGTTCTCTGACAAGTCTGCCGCCCCTTTGTGAGAACTCCATTCACTATCATTTAATTTCATCAGCTCTGTGTGCAATTGTTACTCTGCCAGTTGTAATGGGAGCGTTGAATGTGTTTTTGCTTGACTGATATGAGCCTTATTACTCTGACCTTTCTGAAAATTGACTTAAACGGTTTTGTAAAAATCCTTCACCAGCATCCAGGATAGCAATGTTATTACTCGTGGGCCACTTGACACAGCTTTATTAAGGCACTAAGAGCTTTATGTGGGAGTTTTTGTCATTTAGGATTGTGTAGCAGTTAAAACTGTTCCAACAATAACCATTAGAATTCGAACAACCTTGAGTACCAATATCAAATTAATGGCGATGCAGTAGCTATCAACTTAATCTATAAAATCAATGCTTAACCAAAAAATGTTAAGTTGCTTAGAATGACAGATAAGCTCTACCGCACAGAAACTAAGGATTTGTGCAATAAGTGAAGTAAATGATTTACCGTTGCTACGCTCGCTGGTCATTACTAAAATACCAGTTACTAATTATTCATATTTTCTTAATGACAACACTTATCAAATGTTGTGTCAAAGATGTTACGCAGCTGCCAGCCAGCAAACAGCAGCAACCCCTCCCCCAATGCTCAGATGTTGCGAACAAGCAAGGTGCAAACTGGGACAGATGGCATCTCATAAAACCAGTTTGACAGTATTTTAACAAAAAGATGATAATAAAATTTGTATGTAAGCTGTCACAATAATATGGAATATAACTCACAGGACTTTAATCTGCAAGGGAAGAAGGCTGTAGGTGCTATATTTGAGAACGGTATCCACCACATGATTTGCCTGCCGTTGTTGTGATGAAATTTTGCTCAATTTAGATTGTTAGAGTTTCAGTTTAATTGGCAGGGAAATTTGTCCTTAGGAACTCACAAACATAAATCTTACCTCTGCTATGCTTCTTCCTTCCTTCTGCATGAAGTAATTCTTCTTAAACTCATAATAGCTGTTGTACTGATTCCAAGACTGCAGAAAGTCAAACCTATAGATGATTGAAAGAAGAACAAATATTGTATAAGATCAGTGGTAGGCATTCATAAAAAATTAGCCAGAAGTTGATGAGACAGATTCTGCAGCATATAAAGGAAAAGTTACTGAGCCTCTGAACCTGAGCCTTGATATGACTAACAGATTTATTTGTGGTAGGGACACTCACCGTGGATCGTTCTTGGCACGGACACTGGCCTCAAACTTAAGACCGTTTCTAGCAACATACTCAGCCAGCTTGTCTATGACTGGCTGGGTGTCAGGTGGTGGGGGGATGATGGCTTGTGGTGCTGGTGTGGACACTGGAGCTTCATCTTTTGAACTGTTTTCAGGGAAAATCAAAGATGTTAAACTTAGAGAGAGGTTTTGTATTTTTAAAACTGTGTTACTTGAGTCACCTTCCTCTTTGTAATGATTTAATTCAAAGTAATATTTCCTAAAATACATTGTAAACACTGAGACAGACAAGGCAGCAAAAACACCACTAAGTGGCATTAAGCATTTGAAAATGCCAGTAAAGCCATCAAGGGGAGTCAAGGGTATGAACAGTGTTACGGTCCGTTAAATGTCATACCTGGTTTCTGGTGCACTTGGTGGAGCAGAAGAGCTGGTGACCTGAGAGGAGGCTGTGGCTGGTGGTGCCACAGTGACAGTTTCTGGAGGGGTGGGTGTTGTGGCCAACTGAGCCACAGCTCCAGAAGACGTGGGCGGAGCAGTCACTGCAGCTGAGGGCATGCTGTTATAGTAGGCGGTTGCATCAATCCCTGGGGGTGGTGGGGCCAGGCAGAATGTTCCATCAGGAAGCATGTAGTACCCATAGTACATTGCTGTTGGATTTAATGTAAACAAATGAGGAACATTTTATTAAATGGAGAACCATTCATATATGCTTCAGCTGTGCCAGATGAAGGACAAACAGTTATGTTACTTCATGTGGGATATACAGTATGGATGAATACATAGCTCTGCATCGATACTAAGGATGTATGGGTGACTGTTCCCTTTTGTTCACGGATGAACAGCTTTTGAATGTGATCACAAGCTGCACAGTATAATTCCATTCCAGAAATGGTGCCGCATTAATAACAATTAAGAGAAGATTTAATAATTACATTTAGGGTCTTGTCATTATAACCTCTTTTTCTTTTTCAACATCCATGAAGACGATCAACAGGTCAGTGAGAAGCAATCTTTCACTTTGACCCTTTAAGGTATTTCGATAGAAAGAGTCCTTTGTGACCGTAAACAATTCTAAAGTGACACCAATCCCATATTTAGTCTCTTTGTTGTAAATATAAATATGAGCTCTATGTGGGTGCTTTATATAAACCAGGTTACAATCTACAAATCGTACACACTGAAAAGAACCAAAATAATAGTGTGTTAATGGTTTAAAGATGTCATGCATTTAGGAACAGTGGAGGGAATGTGCAAAGAGCATGTGTTCATGATAATGTGATGTACCTCCAGATTCTAAGGTTTGCTCGGGCTGTACGATGTTATGTACTTTTCCTATTTGCTGTCAAGCTATGCTTAATGTTTAATATGTCCACCGTAGCAATTAATTTACATAAGAAGGAAGTAAACAGAAATCAACAGGTGACCGATCTGCAAAAAGGTCATCTCGTCTATCAGTGAGACTGTATGAAAAAAAACTTTCCCTAAGAAGAGAGAGGGGGGCAGTACAGGGACAAGGACAAAATAAATGGTCAGTGTCAAAGTGGAAACTGTGATATTAACACATTAGTCATTGAGCTGTTTGACTTTGATCACACATCCAATTTTCTCTCGTCAGGAAAAATGGGAAACTGAGCCGAGTCATTTACAAACCTGACATGTGCCAGCGCTGAGATAAAAACATAAGATGTGCAAGTGGAAGGCCGAAAACAAAATATTCACTGTAAAGATAGACGATCAGATGTCTTCATGTATTTCATAGACTGATATCGATGTTGAAGTTAGATAGTGTTTTGGGAGTAGCTCATTCAGCCAGCTTACAGCATCCATTATGGTGAGAGGGAATGATTACATACATTACACTAAAGGAGGTAATGGGGCACCTTGTAATTGAGGCTGTATAATAACATCAAAATGTTGAAACACAGGAGAAGGCTTCCTTGTTGTACCCAAGCCAAGAATAGATACATGGATGGGCAAATTAATAGCCCGTTTTGAGCCACAGTGCTTATAAACAGCATTAAGCAGCCAGGTCAGCCACAACCGATTTACTAACATTAGTTAGAGATCAGATCAGAGGACACCCTCCACAGCTGTCTCCGAGATGAATAAATTGCACTAATGGCCAAGTAAACTCTCACGGGTCAGGGGTGGCCAGCGACCATGAGTTTATTTAAACAAACTGTTTCAGGGGCGGGTGAACATGTGCATGGTATGATTACTTAAGCAGCAGTGCGGTGAATAAAGAGGAGAAGGTGTGGGTGTGACTTATCGTGAAGAGATATGCAGATAACCTAAAATGATTACTTTCATTTTCATTTCATTTATTCCTAAAAATGTCATCTTGGATAATGACCCAAGATATCATCCAATGTCATAGTGGATGAGAATGTATTATTCTGGTTCCACCTTTTCACATCACCTTTAGCATTTTATCATTTGATCTGAATCTGATCCTTTTCACATCTTTCTTATTAGTTCTTAGCATTTTATTATTTTCTTTGTATGTTTTCCTGATCTCTTTATAGTATTTATTGTTATCTATATAATTTTATCTCTCTTTGTTTACCTGCCTTTGGTGTTTCCTCGTCAGATTTATGATTGGATTTCCTCAGTTCTGGTTAATATTGTTTTGCTCCGTGCATGAATGAGAGTCAGGGTATTGTTTTTATTGCTGTTATTCTGTAAAGCATTTTGTGCTCCATGGTTGGTATGAGAGGTGCTGAACAAATAAAGTCTGACTGATGTGCACTGACACTGGATTAAGTTAGGACACCTCTATCAAAACATCAAAAAAAGTCAAGCATCCTGAACAACTTCTAAATTTACTGTATGAAGATGACCGCCAAAAGTCAAGTGACAGACATGATAAAGGAAACTGGCAGATCATAAATCCACAACAAGTTTGGCAAATCACCTCAACACTGTAGGAAACCGCTTAGCCGGCTTGGCTGACTTACAACTGCACACTATCAGAATATAACAGTGAAGTCACAACCAAACATCTTTTAAAAGTCAAACCTATCAGATTAGCTGGCATCCCGGTTTCCAACTCGGTCCCAGAACACCACTGAGCTCAATATTACTTTGCAGACTGTGGTCGGCATTAAGAAGTGAGGAGATGAACTGAACAACCAGCAGTGGCAGAACAAATAGACCATTTATGTGCTCAGTGGTAGACAAACAAGAAGATCTCTACTTGGCCGAGGAAATGAAAACGTATAGATGGCTCAAAATAAAATTGGCCAGCACCAACATATGATGAAAATGATAAAGATCTTATTACATTTCACTTGTCTTCTGTTCTTTGAGACCCCCCAAAAAAACAACACGATACTCACGGTCAGCTGTGTAGTGTGCTTGTGTGGTGGGTGCAGCCGTGTCAGCTACTTCCTCTGGTTTGGCTGCCACTGCTGCAGTGCCATTTCTTTCTTGCTGGGCTTTTCTTATAAGTGCGGCCAGAGGATGGTCCGGGTCCATGACTTTAAGAGGCTGCAAAACAACAAGCCTGTTTGTTAAATTAGTGGTTCACACCATCATGTTATTTCTTATCAGAGTAAAGGTCAATGAAACCTGCTACAAGCATAAAATAAGAGACAGAGCTGTAACATTTTAATACATACGCCACACGTTGAAAGCTTTATCAAGTCAGAAGCCGGGAAATCATCAGAATGTACTTGAATGCAGTGTGAAATATTAGCAAATACTCTGCAAGTACCCCTTTACAGTTATCTTCCTTGGTAACCCCATTAAATATTATATATGAGCCCTTAGAGGAATATTAGAGTGGCTGATTTGAAAAGGAACTCCCTCCTGATGGGAGACAACTGTTAGACAGTTTCTTATTAAAAGGAGCTCATTATGTTTCTTTAAAAAGACGTGCTCCCATTCTCACTACTCAGTCAGAGACTAATGGTTGTCCTGACAGGGAACATGAAAGTGCTCAAGAAAAACTGTACCAGCATTGGAACAGGAAGTACAGCCATTGCAGACATGGGGAAAAACAAGCAGGATGAAAATGTAACTCACATGAAAGGCAGTGGTGTCCTGATAAGAATTAAAGTGTTCGAATGCAACATTATAATGAGGACGTATTAAAGCCTGTTGCAGTTTGACTGCTTTAGATGAGCCGCCTATTTTCACTGTCCAATGAAAATCATGTATTTATGAAAGGGATTATATTATAGGCTACATAAGCAGCTTTAAACCCCATTGGGTTGAAAAACATGAAGATAAAAATGTAAATATAAAATATCACAACGTGCTGTTTTCACACGACAGTCACACAACGTTTAACAGTCTTTTGACCAGGTAGCCTGTTTACATTACCTTCACCAGCTCCTCCAGACGAGAGCACTTCTTAGGGGCAAACAGGCTAGGATGAAGGTAACTGCCATCCCCATCATCATCCGAGTCGTCGGAGTTTGACTCTAGAGTAAGATAACAAAAAGAAAAACAGGGCATGACACTTCTCGTTTTTGCAAATTGGATGCCTGAGTGAGTATGTTACTGTTCAGTGACTGCTTTCTGTAACTCACCCTGCTGCTGCTCTTGTTTGTTGGCAGAGACAAGGTTGTATCGCCCTTCCTTCATGGCCCGCAAGATGTGTTTGTAATAAGGGTTCAGGTAATGGTCAAAACGGAGAAAGTCAAACTGGGAGTTACCGGACTGCTTCGCTTTCAGCACTATCTCAAACTGAGCACCCTGCTGACACACGTAGTTGGCCGTCCTTTCGATGATATTATGGGTCTTAATGGTTGCCGGCTACAAAAAAAGATGAAAAACATAATTTTTACTAAATGCAGCAAATCAAATTTCTTATTTTTAATGTAAAAAAACAAACAAACAAAGGAAATATTTATCGTAGAACCATTTTTAAAGCTCAACAGTGAATAATAAGCATAATTACCATATATATATATAATGTGCTACACACAAGATTAAGATGCAATGCACAGTTCATGAATAGCTTATAGAAGCCATTTTGTCTTTAAAGTATTTTCATGCCAAGCACTCTTATGTTCATTGTGATGACATAAATTCTGAAAATACACATGGGGTGAAAATCAGTGGAACAAGAAATGGTCCATTATTCATTCATTATTGTTCCCCTTGTGTGCTTTCACTGATTAATCATTGTCATTACCTTGAGAGCACAAAGAAGTGCAGCAATCTACACATATCTCATCGGGATGAGAGTCATAATAAATACCGCCTTTCAAGACATTGGCCAAAAAGATGCCAGCGTCCAGCCTGCACAGACCATTATCGTATTCGGAGCTGCCAAGGACTTCCTGACATATAAGGACTCTTCCCGCTCTGATTAAAGAACTTAGTCATTAGGGGAAAAGTGGGTGTGTGTAATACTTATTATATGTTGATGTGAAACGCACAGAGAGAGCATCATCTCTCACACCTGTAACTCAGCAACTGAGATGGCACACTAAAACAATACATTACCAACAGGAAATGGTTATAAAACATCTCAGCACACTGAAAGTATGATGCAGTCTACACTTGAGAGAGAAGTGATCATAACGACTGACGCTGGCATCAGACTCTGTTCCCTTTGTGAATTATTACATAACACCACAAAATAAAAGTTTTCAAAAAGTTGGAGGAAGGAATCAAGGAATTTAATACTGACCAGTTCCACATCAGGAGGGATAGCGAGCCCCGGGGGAGCTACAAACGGTTCCTCGCTCTCCTCAGGCTCTGCCTCTTCTGTACAAGTGATGAGATCGTAGAAGAACATGATCAATTCTTTGTAAGTCATTTGTCAGCAAAAAATGAAATATACTTCGATTGATACATACCCAGCTGAGCAGTAGAGCCAGAAAAAATTTGAGTCCCAAAATTATTTTAAGTGGAGGGGAAACTACTAAGCCAAAAGCTTTCTCCCCAGTAGATAAATATACCATGACAATATTCATCCTGTATCATCTGCTGCATACAGGTCAGAGGGAAACGGAATTAACATTTTTAATATGGTACTCCAGCAACTTTATAAATTTTGGGTACTTCAGTGAAGGTGAAGTGTGCAGATATGAATAAATTCAAGTAATAAATATACTGCATGAGCAAATTAAGCTCCTCATTTTGACAAGACATGAATTCAATGGGTATATTATGAAATTACGAAGTCACAATTACTGTGGAGGTTTTGACAGAGAGCAGAAAACTAATGATAGTGAAATTAACCCTCTTGTTTGTTTGACTTTCACTCAGGAACAAATAATAGT